ACCTACAGATACCTAATTCCTATACAGATAATTCATATTTTTATTTTTGTCACCGCAGTTGTCTTAAAATACCTATGTTTGTAAGTATTATTATTAAAATTATAAAAAATGATTTAGAGAAGAAACCATTTCACATTTTATTAGTTGTTTACAGTAAGTACTGAAATCTGTTGCATTTATGCAGTATGTTCAGAAAAACAAAAGATAACTTATGAAATAAAAAAGCGCCATCTATTAGTAAAATCTAATATTCAAAGGACAACGCACGTGAACTGCATAAAGCGGCCTCTATTGTAATACAGAGGAACTTGTAAGGGATCTGTCCGTCGGGGATTTGTTTCCTTTTTACGTGGAGTAAGTGCTCCCGCTTGGCGCTTGGTAAGGTTTGATACCACAGAGTATTTTTTATATATACCTAGGTTTGATACTTCCTACACTAAAAATAGTGAAATAATATTTAATAAGTTGTTTTGCGTATTATTGAAAAATCATGCGTAGCAGTGTCTTTTTAAACCGATTTCAAAAAGGAGGAGGTACTCAAGTCGACTGCATGTTTTTTAATGTATGTTACCTCATAACCTCTTTCTGGGTGAACCGATTTCGATGATGCTTTTTATTTGAAAGCTGGTGCTTCTCATGTGATCCCATATAAATTTGATCAAGGTCTGACCAATAGTTAATGAGTTATTATTAATAATTCATATTGAAGTCGGTTGTACAAAATTTTTAATTATTAATTATTTGTCAGAAACATTTTCGAGCAGGAGCGCTTACAAAACAACTCGCAAATATTTCTTGTAATCAGTAGGCAATGACATAGAAACGTTTAGAAAAGTAGAAAACGAATAGCAATTTTTTTTTGTTAATAACTCAGTATAACATTTATTTTTAGAAGACAAAAACTGTAGCATGATAAAGCTTTCAGTCGTCGCGGTATACAAAAGGTTTAGCGAAGTGTTATAGTATAGTATCGTACCGTGATAGATAAGGGGACTCTACTTAATTTATTTCGATATGTTAATTTAAACATTGAAATTGTTTGTTGCAATTATACAAAAAATGGAGACACGTAAAACCAACCACAACATTAGGATCAGCGAAGGAAAATCTTTCTTACCCTAACACTACGTAAGTTGTCAGACGGACAATGATTTACATCCAAATCATTGTCCGTCTTACAACATACTTAACTTATATAACTTATACATGGTAGAGCCATGCTGCAGCTAATATAGTAGTATAGCTGTAGCACGAATGGCTCGGCTCGGCCGGGGAAGGATCACGCTCTGACAGAATATCAGCGTAAAATGGCAGCTTGACACTGCTGTGTTTCGTATGGTGAGTGTAGAGAACCGGAGACCTATTTTACAGGAAAAGAGGCATTCCATCTTAGTCCTCACGGGTGACAATCCATCTGCATTTTGATTCTTTGCTGAGGATAAATGTAGATGTCTATGGGTCACAGCAACCATTTACCATCAGGTGGACTGTGTACTGGTTCATCACCCAATCCTATAAAAAAAATTCTCTTTTTAAAATTTTTGGTACATTTGGTGATTAACAAAATTACGAACATCGATCATACTGCACGCTTTTAAATATTGATAACGTATTGAGACGTGTTTCCCTGATTTTGTATTTTCCACATTCGATTTATTCCGATGATATCCCGGACGTCAGTCTGAGCGAGATTAGAATGGCTCTCCAGCACCTTAAAAACGGCAAGGCCCCAGGCCAGGATGGAATTACAGCGGAGCTTCTGAAAGCGGGTGGAAAACCGGTACTTGAAGTCCTTCAGAAGCTCTTTAATTCCGTCCTCCATGGTGGCATTACACCGGAGGCGTGGAGCAGAAGTGCGGTGGTCTTGTTCTTCAAGAAAGGCGACAACGCTCTCTTGAAGAACTACAGACCGATTTCCCTTCTGAGCCGCGTCTACGTGCTGTTTTCGAGAGTCATTACGAATCGTCTCGCGCGCAGACTTGACGACTTCCAGCCTCCCGAACAAGCCGGTTTCCGAAAAGGCTTTAGCACCATAGACCACATACATACCCTTCGGCAAATTGTACAGAAGTCCGAGGAGTACAATTTGCCACTATGTCTGGCGTATGTGGACTATGAGAAAGCCTTTGATTCCGTCGAAATTTGGGCGGTGCTGCAGTCCCTTCAGCGATGCCAAGTTGACTGTCGGTATATCGAAGTGTTGAAGTGCTTGTACAGTAGGGCTACGATGGCTATCCGAGTACAGAACCAGAGTACGAAACCTATCCAATTGCAGAGAGGTGTAAGACAGGGTGACGTCATATCCCCGAAACTCTTTACCGCTGCATTGGAAGATGTTTTCAAGCTTCTGGACTGGAAAGGATACGGTATCAACATCAATGGCGAGTACATCACTCACCTTCGATTTGCCGACGATATAGTCCTTATGGCAGAATCGCTGGAGGACCTAAGCACTATGCTCAATGACCTCAATAGTGTTTCCCAACGGATAGGTCTTAAGATGAACATGGACAAAACAAAGATCATGTTTAATGTCCATGTCACACCTATGCCGGTAGTTGTTGGGAACACTAAGCTCGAAGTTGTTGACGAGTATTTTTACCTGGGACAAATAGTCCGACTAGGTAAGTCCAACTTCGACAGAGAGGTCAATCGACGGATTCAACTCGGTTGGGCAGCGTTCGGGAAATTACGGCACATCTTCTCGTCAGGTATACCTCAAAACTTGAAAACGAGACTGTACACCCAGTGCGTGTTGCCAGTGATGACATACGGAACTGAGACGTGGTCCTTCACTGCTGGCCGGATGAGGAAGCTCAAGGTCGCTCAGCGAGCTATGGAGAGGGCTATGCTCGGAGTTTCTCTGCGTGATAAACTCAGAAATGAGGATATCCGCAGTAGAACCAGAGTGACCGACATAGCCCAACGGATTAGTAAGCTGAAGTGGCAATGGGCCGGCCATATAGCTCGAAGAACCGACAACCGATGGGGAAGAAAGGTTCTCGAGTGGCAGCCTCGTACCGGCAGGCGAAGTGTAGGGCGTCCCCCCACTAGATGGAGTGACGACCTGGTAAGATTTGCAGGAAGTCGATGGATGCAGGTGGCTCAGGACCGTGCTTTGTGGCATTCTTTGGGGGAGGCCTATGTTCAGCAGTGGACTTGTGAAGGGCTGTAATGATGATGATGATGATGACATTCGATTTACACACAAACACTCACGCCTGTCACCCAGAGGGGTAGGCAGAGACTACGGACTTCCATTTGGCGTGATCCTGACACACCTCTCTTGCCTCCTTTACATCCATATATCTACGCACACATGCTCGTCGGTTAAAGGTACTCTTGATATGGCCCATTTTTAATATATCGCCAATTTGGTCGATAAACTTTCGCCTAGGGCGACCCTTCCCGACTATGCCGTTCACCTCTGCAACATAAATTTGCTTTGTCACTCTTTCCTCATTCATTCTTTCTACATGGCCAAACCACCGAAGCATTCCTTTCTTAATCCTGGTCACAACATCATGTTGCAAACCACACTCTTCTCTTATTAAACAATTTTTCACTCTTTCATTCAGCTTCATCCCTAACATATTCCTTAATGACCGCATTTCTATAGCATTTATTCTACTCTCATGCTTCTTCTGCCACACCCAACTTTCACTACCATACATTAAAGTAGGTACTAACACAGCAATGTGAATTGCCATACGTGCCTTTTTGGACACATTCTGACTTTTCACAATAGAGTGTAGAGCCCCATTCACTCTATTTCCTGCATTCACTCGTCGTTCTATATCCTTATCATATCTACCATCCCTGCTAAATACACATCCCAAATATACAAACTCATTTACTTGCTCTACCAACTCCCCTTCTATTCTTATTTCACATATCGTTTTACTTTCTTCTCTTTCAAAAACCATAACTTTCGTCTTACTTGCGTTCACTTTCATTCCCTTTTCTTTTAATGTCCTGTTCATTAATGTAACCATCATTTGCAACTCGGCTGCCGACGATGCAAGTATAACTTGATCATCGGCGTACAAAAGGCATTTGACGGTTAACTCACCCATTCTTAACCCGCATTCTTCTACTTTCAAATTTTCCAAACATGGCGCGATCCTGACACACCTCTCTTGCCTCCTTTACATCCATATATCTACGCATACACGCTCGTCGGTTAAGGGTACTCCTAATCTGGCCCATTTTCAATGTATCGCCGATTTGGTCGATAAACCTTCGTCTAGGGCGTCCCTCCCCGACCCTGCCGTTCACTTCTGCAACATAAATTTGCTTATTTAATAAGTTATGTGAGAATAAAATAACATTGAACTTCAAAATTTAAAGGTACTTAAAAAATCATGATCAACTTCAAGTATCGTAAGCTAAAAAAGCAAGCTTTCAATACCTTGAAACACATAACGTAATTGGAACCCACCACGGAATGTGGTTTTACTTCTGTGACTTCATAGCCTTTACACAAAGTATATTGCTTTAAAGGAATACTTTTCACGCGCATGGTGTATATTTAAAATATTTGCCAGTGTGACTTTTATACATAATCCTTTTTTTTGTGTTGGCTCGAGATATTATGTCTTAGTTAGGTGCGCTTATAATTAGCGGCTGAGTTGTGATTGTAACAAACGTGGGATTGGATAATGAACGGCCACAGCGGGCGACGAGGAAAAAGCAATGTTCTTTTTTTATATAAAGTCCTAGATTTATCACGCTTTTTTGCTGGCAACTTTTCTCAGGTTTTTTAAAGGAAGTGCCTAACCTAACTTTAACATGCCGTAGAAGATAGAGATTAAAATGTCAGTTACATTTTTGAGAAAACAAAATATATTTAATGATATTATTTATCGTGACTTAAAACATAATATAATAATATATATAAAACATTTAAATTTTAAATATTGATATACTTCTATAACATGCCAAACAGCATTTTGAATACATTGGAAATTATTAAATTTTTGTAATGGAAATTGTAATATCTACTTTTTCTTTTTCTTATCGGCTTTCATTTTGTACATTAGTTGAGATTCCAACATGGACATATAATACAAATACTCCTGGCCCCACGGAGAGAACGAAAGGTACCATTGAGAGAACATCTCATAGTCCGTTTGGTCAACGTAGTTGCTCCGATCGTCTTTCATGACAGCGTCAAGTATTTCTGAGGGTTGTAGGGGCTTATAGTATAACTGAGTTATTCTTTTTCCATCCATAATTGTATCAAGGGCTCTTTTTATTGTCTTTATGTCATAACCTCTTAAAACTTGTGCTATACTATGTACATTAAATTCTCGATTTATTCCATGATACTTCATCAACATATTCTTCAGTAAGAATGATATACTCCCGTAATCTGTTCTCGGAAACATAATAATAGATGGAAATGCTTTACTCATTGGAGCAGCTTTTGATAACCACGGCTCAGAAGCTGTACCCAAAACTAAAATCTTGTCTAAATGTGTAATTGGTTTAATTATTTCCTTGAAAAAGTCTTTTTGCATTCGTAATGGATCGAACATTCTTTCTTCATTCGGAACTCTCTTGTAAAACATTTTGTCAGCGTCGGCCACTAAAATTATCGTAGGCTGCATTAATCGGCTAATTTTATTAACAAACGTGAACATTTTTTTTAAATTTTTTGGACCAGGAAATTTGTTATATACATTCAATGGCGAAAGGTCTATTAATAATGCATTAGTTTCCGTTGCTAAGGCGTATATCAGAGTTCTTTTACCAGCACCTCTTGGACCAACAAGCAGGTGTGATCGGATCGCACTGGTGCACGAGGATCCAAGCGCTAACATACAACGTACTCTTACTTGCTCTCTTACATCACCTAAGCAAGGAGGAGGAAACGAGGGCGTCCATTCTACAGCTCTCATATCAGCGGCCGCATAATTGCGTTCTCCCCAAAAATCGTCTAGACTTAAATGAGGATGCTCCTTTATAATACCCTGATCAAACAGTTCTTGAAACATAGCAGCTGGGGATATTTTATCAGGCCTCGGTTGTTTTTTTTTCTTTGGCTTTTTCCTTTTCTGACTCCGCGGTGGATTACTTATTCCAGCCGCAAGATAATCATTTTTAAGTGACTTTTGTAGCTCAATCAACTCTAATCTCATCATCTCATCTACAATAGGCCGGAGTTGTAAATGTATATCTTTATAGACATTTTCCGTTAGAAGCTCTTTTATATATCCTTTTATAACATTTAAAGGCGCTTCTGGTATATCAATGTCTTTCCATTGATTTTGGTATGTTTTCCATGCTTGCTGCAATTCATCGTAATTTTTACCTATCTTTATGTACACACCAGGATCATTGTCTGGATTCATTCGAGATTTTTTATAATCAAGGAGCTTCTTTTTCTCTTTTTCTAATCTTTCCTTTTCCAAACGCTTCTTTTCTAATTTGGCCTCTAGCTTCTCTGCTTTAATTTGTTCTTTGGTTTTTGGATTTCCAGCTTCTGCTTTTAGTCTTTTGTCCTCTGCTGTTCGCCATTCAATATATTCTTCAATAGTAAAAGTATCACCCTTAACGACTAAAATTGATCCCCCTTCATCGGGCCATGGGAACTCGTCAAATGTTCGCACGTTATTGTACCAATCCTGAAACCATTCTCTTATTTCAGCAGAAATATCTTCCATAATATCACCTTCTCTTAATTTTAAAACACGAGTTTTTTCTTTAATGTTTTCTACTAACCATTTCTCATGATATTTTTGTCTGAAACTGCGACGGATTTCTTGCACTTTTCGTAACTCATCTTTAGCCGACGGAATATAACGTGAAGGTATAATCATTTGAAGCTTTTCTTTTAGCTGATTATCCCTGAGCTGCTCCCGCTTAATCTCCATAAACCGTCGATAAATTTTTTGAATTAACGCAGCCGCCCTTTGTTTCATATTTTCTGAAGCTTCAGGTTTCTTAAGCCCTGCGAGTTCCAAATATAAAGCAGCGTCTTTATTAAATTTTTGGTTCTTCTCTCTTATAACATATCTGGAACGCTCCATACGTTGAATGTTATTAATATGTGTATTGTATTCTTCTTCTAATTTTCTTTTTTCCAATTCTTCAGGGCTAAGTACTTCTGATTTAACGGACTCTATATCCTCACCTAAAGCTATTTTAATTTTTAATTGAGCTTCTTTTTCTTCCTGTATTCTTATTTCTTCTTCAATACGTGCCTGCTCTCGACGTTCTATTTCTGATGGCGTAGGTGTGGGATCACCAATGCGATTGCCAGAGAATATTTGGTCAATAATATATTGCATTTCTTTTTGTCTTGTTTCAAACGGATAAAAAAATGGACAAAGTATTTCTATATCATGGGGGACAATAAGCAGTTGTTGCAATGCATTTTCAGGGTACGTGAATTCAAACACTTCTACTGCTTCTAATGTAGATTTCAGTTCCAATAAACGACAAGTGACAGTATCAATTATTATTTTTATATAGGGTCGTCTTTGTATTTGATCCATTTGGTCATAACACTCGCATAGCTTATTATATAAAAGGCAGTACTGGGCATACACCTTGGCCACTAATTCCACAGCCGTACTCTGAGGTTTTATACCAATACTTTCTGTCGCTAAATGTTGAAGTCTTTGATCTGCAGTTAAGGCAATTTCCAACTGTTTCTTTATTTCTAACCAACGTTCGTAATATTCTTTGCTAGCCATAATGTAGTATTAATTTACTTTGTTTGCGAAATATAAATATAAATTATATCATAACAAAAATTTAAATAAAGTTTAGGAAATAATTTAAAAGTTGATGTACGCGTATCTAATTATTAGTTCAATGATCATCTTACATTTGACAATTGCTGTCACTCACTTCTTCTTAAGTACTGAAAAAGTGCTCTGTGTTTTGGATGAAGTAAAGTACCACAAATTAAAAACACAGTTCATTATTAATAAAAGTATATTTTAGATAATTAAATATTTTACTGTCTTTTAATTATATTTTAACAAATTTTGGTCCCGATATTTTCATGCTGTTGAAATCTAAATTAGTTTTCAAATATATCATATTAATTTTACTTAATAGCAAATCAGAAATCTGAAACTTAATTATAGCGGCAAAAATAGGTGGCTCTCATTATACAGAGAGAATTCTAAGTTGTAAAGGACGCCTATTATTTCTGTAGTAAAGTAAACGTATTGTTTTCCCTTTAAAAAACTAATTTTAGATCAGTATATCTTTTCATATGAAAAGAAGATGTTTCACCGACATTAACTTTACCTACGAGTATAGTGAAGATCGACGATTAGAGATAGGGTTTTTATAGAAGTGGTGAAAATGGTAAGTGAATACTATGAACCTTGGATACCTACATCTATTTTTGATTAAGAATCAAAATGAAGATGTGTTTTGTCACTTCTGAGGATTCATTCGTGCTGCAGACATAACACTCTGCCATGTAGACTTGTGTCAATGCTGAAGGTTTAACAAACCCATAACACTACCACGTAGACTTGCTGTAATCTTCATGAACACTGCAAACCACGCTATCATGAAAACATTTTTAAACAAGTTTATTTTTATTCATTTTTGACAAACAAAAGGGAGGTCCACATCGCATATTCAATTACGTTTATTGATAGGAATAATTGGCGAGTGTGTCTTATCAACGTAGCTTATTACGAAATATGTTATGTTCCTTAAAAACGCGTGGGGAGGGATGACAATGACGCTTCAACCCTCGCACACAATAAAAATGTTTTAAGTGTGCCTCCGTGAGTTCCATTGAGCGTTAGTAACATCGGCGCACGCGTTCAGCGACTGTATCCGGTTGACGCGTGCCGGTTACGATATACTACTTAAGTTACAAGCGGTAGCGGTGCGTTATTAGATTTAATTGAGGATTTAAACTTTCATAATGAAAAGTTTCGTTTTATTTTACCTCCCATACTTATATATTATATATGATCATGTGTAACTTTTTTAACAATCTGCTAATAGATTTGAGAACATAGGCGATATCTTAGCTCTTGATATTTTCCACTCGTGAAGATCAGGACGGAGCTGGCCTCTGTAAGTCATCCTCTTTGTAAATGAGGAAGCCACTGTTCGTGAAGAATTTGAATTGTGTCAACACACATTCTTTCCGTCATTTCCAATATAGATATAACAAAATTGGACATCTTATAAATAAATATCTCTTTTGAAATCATTCAACTCTAACAAAATTCGGGATGGCGTGTATATGTATAATGAATGAATCTTGTTGTAAAAATGACGATTGTTTGCGCCTGTAATATAAATAAAATTTAGCAAATATGGTATTTTCTGTGGAATTGCTGTTCGATCGTATTGGCAAAAGCCTGCATTCACTACCGGGTTGAATTACGACTCGGTCTTGGACACGCCGCGAGAAACAAGAAGTTATCTATGCTCATTACATAGAATTCGCTGCGCTGTTTGGTCATGTTTTGATCCCCACCCGCATTGCACCGCCAATTTACTGTATCCACATATTTTATGATCATCACATAGCTCATCGCATTATAAAGTCGCCCTCAAACACTCAGCAAAGACGAAAAATTTGAAGATCAAGGTAAGTTTTTAAACTTTTGTTAAATGCTTAATAGAGAGTTTTCACAGACAGACCTTTTGTATTAATAAGGTCATATATAATTGCCGCATAAATATTTTATTCTTCCCGCATATATCATAGTCATTTTGCGCCGAATAATATCTGTATCATTGTCATTATTATGTTAATAAATTTACAGTCATCTTATAAGCAGTGCCAAGCGCTGTATTCTGGTTTGATCGGTATGAGAGCCCAGTAGGTATAATTCAGGCTTTATTTGTCTGATGTTACGATTCAACGCCGGTTTTACTTACAATACCTAATTGTTAACTGTAGTGTAAAAGTAAATTTTCAGTTTATATACCTTCCACAACTGGGTACAGGCCTCTTCAAATTTCTTTATATTATAAAATAATGAGGGCTAATAGCTTTCTGCTCACCAGATGTCGCTAGTTGACACTAAGGTTTTTTGTTACACAATGTAATTTAGTTGAGAAATGATTTTTTAATATAATTTATCACTTTCTTGAGTATTATATTAATACACAAAATAAGGCGTCAGTAGTTTGCTCTTTAATTTTTTGAACATTATTAACTTTTTTTAAATTTTTCTAGATTTATGAATATCTGTGGTTTGGTTTTTTTTTATAGGAGAGGGGGCAAACGAGCATGCGGCTCACCTGATGGTAACTGTCGATCGCCGCCAACAACTTCAACACTAGGGGAATTACAGGATTTTGGCTAACCTTTTAAAAAGGAGTTTTAAAAATTAATGGCCCCAAAGTCGGCATGCGATATTATTTAACTATCTTAACGGCTCAACATTTTATTAAAAGTTCAATTTATTGACACATTTGAGTGGACTAAGGAAAATTACAACTAGAATATCGTATAAATAACATTAAAAGAATCATCTCCTATTTTTCTACCCATAAGGATGAAATTTTATAAGCTCCTCAAATATTGTCGAGAAACCTTGATTACTAGATACATAGGTTAATGCATACTAGAGATGAGAATAAGGTTGTCATCGTATAGATGTGTAATATTGATAAACTTATCTATGTTCATAAAGAAACCGCCGCCCATGAACAACTGCAACACCAGGGGAATCGCAGATGCGTTGCCGGCCTTTAGATGTATTTATTTTAATGTTATTAATATAAAATATAGCTGATAGTACAAAAAGAAAGAATAACTTTGACATTTTCCTAACAAATTAACTTCCCCACTATGAAATCTCTCAAATATTATACCTCACTTTCTAATGGCGCCGCCCTGGTGGCAGAAAAAGTCGTGGATGGTTTTGTTAGTTCGCCGCGTTGTTTCAGTGTATGTTGATGGATTTGAAATTTGCTGGAAATATTTTATTCTTCATACATATAAGTTTATTAACGAAGCTTTCCTATTCCAGCACTCAAAGTTACAATTAATAACAAAATTGGTGTCGGTGGGTATAGAAACCATATGGCGTGCGTACATGTTAACCTACACAAAATAGTGTATTATTTTGGAACTGGACAGCTCCGAGGTCTTGAAACTGTTAAATTTTAACATAAAACACAACCCACGCAGACCTATAAAAATATTTGACTTACCCCTATCGCGAAATAATATTTCCCGGAATCAACCCATATCCTGGTTATGTTGACTCTACGAGGATTATAGCCTTCGCTTTACCAACCTTGACATCTTCAACTCTAGCCTGGTTCGCTTTAGAAATGTTTTGAAAGACGATCGGTCGAGGACATCCCATTTGATTGATATTCATTATAGTTATAGTTCTTGATTGGTTGGATTTATGAGCCTGTTAGTTTAAGAAATTTTAAAGTTGGTAAAAATTACCTTGCGTACATCCGCTCGATAAATTAAAATGATGTGTCTTACCTAATTTGAAGAGCACCTCTCACCCTCCCTCAATTGCGTGCACTATCTCCGTCACCACTAATCACAGCACCACTACTCTCAACGCCACTAATCCCAGCACCACTACTCCCAACACCACTACACCAGGAAAGACACACCACAGACGAAAATACGACACGTGTTTCGCCTCTACACTATGCATCTTCAGGTGATGTAGACTCTGCGTTGGCTGACCGCTAGCTAAGCGATGAGTGAAGCATTAATAAATTGCGCAAATTTTCTTTTTCAGATAGGAAAATTTGCATACTAAATACAAAAAGTTACAGTCTATAACCGTCCCACAGCTGTCGTGGCGCTACCCCAGTGCGTGTTGGGGGACTTCACATGTCTTCGAATTATTTTCAAAAGTTTTCTGACATGCGAGTTTCCTCACGATGTTTATCATCACCGCCTATTATGTGGTAAATCAGCAATTAAAACTGACACTCACAATTTCATGGTACCAGCGGAGATTGAAAGCCGGGTCGCTCGCATGACATTTACAGTAAAAGCTAACTTGCTAAGCCGTGGTAGCTCTTAAAATAATAAACGAAATTTAAATTTAATCTATAAAACTACATAAGATAGGCTATAATTAAAATTAAATGAAATGCTTTCTATTTCTTCAAATGCTATGCGCTGTTCACTTGGACCGAATCCTTAAACAGCATCGCCCGAAATGCAACGTAACAATGATTTACTCAGTATCCCTCCTATGTATTCATTACGGGTGTAGAATTTAAGCCATTTATTTTGTTAACTCTGTCTCGGGCAATAAAGCCTGTCGGGGGTGGGACTACGGGGATCGGAGGGCTCCAATAGTTTGTGATCTTAATGTTGGTGTTGAGATTGCCGGCTTATTAGCATACCCACATTGAGTTCGTTTCGTTAAAAAGAGCAAGGGTGATCAACGCTAATCTTTACATATTTTCCGTTACATATACTATACATATAAAAATGTCTGTCCGTAATATTGAAATAACTGGCTGCTATTAAGGTTAGGAGGTTATTTGCATGCTCTTAGACATAAATAACCATTTTTAAATTATTTGTCTGTCTGTCCTAATTTCTGGAATTGCTGAACCGATTAGAAACTTTATGAACAGATAGAGAGCAATGCCAGGGGTCTCTTTTTATCCGAAAAACTAGAAGATAATTTAATAAAAAAAAACGATTTTTTTTTTAAATAAATGGTCCTTAAATCCCAAAAATAAAAGGGCGCTAGTTTCTAAATTA